GATGTTGGTGAAGGAAGCAAAGCTGGGTAAGGTGGTTAGGCAGGTGCTTAGGAAGTTTAAGTGAGAAAACAGAAATCTAAAGTCAAAAGCTGGTGCCTGGTTAGGGATGCATGGCCTCACTAGAAATACAAAGAGAACTAAAGTTAGGAGCACAAACATTAAAATAGCTCTATCCAAGAAATCTTGTTTTGGAAGAATGAAATACAACTTTTGAAGATAATCTGTTCTAAGGACTTCTTTTTGACATTCAGATTAATTACAGGGAAATCCCGTGCATCTAAGAACAAACTGACTTGTTATCGGCCTCAGATATATTTATTTAACACTTTTCAGCATCTGTGGCAGAGGCCTGCTCTCCATCCATCTTTCTTAGGCTTACAGGAATATGATGTTAGGAATATTATTTGCAAACACTTCTGAAAATTGTAGCCAAACGATACACACACATAAATTATATGCACATTTGGTTACAGAACACATTTAAGCTGTTCTTATCTATAATATTGTATGGGGGGGGGGCGCGTCGTATAGCTATACGACCGAGGTCTCCAACTAATAGTATCCAGGAAACACTTGCTTAAAAATAAAAAAAATTGATGGGTGAAGTTGATGGTATCCTAATAATGTCATCATGAAGATGTTATTTAAGAAAATGAGGGTGGGAATGATGAATAAAGCCAATAAACAGAATGTAGAAATAAAACAGAAGGGATTTTGTGACCAGGGATAATTCAGGTCTGACTCAAAAATGATGATGTTTATAATCACACTAAGAAAAGCATAGCGGGTAGAGAGAAGACAGAGCACAACATTTCCTGGGTGAGACACCTGTCCTGCAGGGAGTGGATGGCTCCCAGGTGAGGGGCCAGAGAGCGTGGCGTGTTTATTCAGGTATCAAATGCCGAGGGGTCGCCCCTCACATCCAGTCCTCACGTGACCCACCTACGAAGACCCTTTGGTGACACACGAGACATGTCACTTGCCAGCAGGTCTCGTGGGTTACTTCCCGCTGCCATGCCCTCGGGTCACGGTGGGGGCTGCGTCTCAAGCCATAACTTCCACGGAGGTGTTCACACCCCCAGCTCCGACTGCGCAGCTGAACCTGACCACAGAGAGGGGAGTGGGGAGACGCTTGCTGTGGATTGGGGGGGGGTATACGCTGCAGACTGCCACTCGATGTTGCTCAGTGCCCTCAGAGCCCGCCGAAGGCTCTGAGCACGGCCGTCCCAGCACCCCTGCTTCCCAATCCCTGTCACTCTCCGGATCTCTCTATCGGAATCCACGTGGGCTTTGGTCCCCTCCTCCGCCCCACCACAGACCCTCTGCCCCTTTCCCTCCGCCTGTCTCCCTGTCCGGGGAGCCGCTGGAGGCTCAGTGAGCCTCGGGCAACTCCTTCTGCAGTCACCTCACACGGCGAGGAAGGAGACCGGCTGATTCTCACTCGAGCGCTTTGCCCTCTGGCAGGTGCCTCTCTCCAGAGCAAGTTCCAGCAGGTCCTGCGCCTGCCCCGCAACCCCGGCGTGTGGGGTTGGAGTCCTCTTGGTCCCTTCTCGTTTCTTGCAGCTTCTACCCTCCTGCTCCTGTCTGCACCCTGCAGTTTTTCTCCTCTTCCTCTCTCCTCACCTTTGTTCCGGTCTGCTTTCACACCACACACACTTGGCCCGCAAGACAGTTGCATTTCCCCCGAGATGGTACATAATGCGTGTTTGTGCGACAGCATTGTATTCCTGTTCGGGGAGCCATGGGTTAAATTCACAGCGCACTCTTACCCATTGAAGATAACCTCATTTATTTCTGTTGTGTGTTTAAGATACCGATGACTCTGCTTTCATTTTTTAATAGGAAAACCTTTAGACTCCAGCCATGGTTTGGGTGGAGAGAGGGAGTTAATATATGACCAGGTTAGTTTTCTCAAGTGTAAAATGCAGATTTGGGGGAAGGAAAACCCTAAGTAATGGCTTTAGTATTACAAAATAGTTGATAATATTCACCCATAATTTATTTTTATTAATTTCTCAAGTGCAAAATGCAGATTTGGGAGAGTAAAGAAACTAAGCAGTGTTTTTTAGCATCCTGACACTGTTCATAACATTAACCCATCATTTATTTGTATTAGATCCCCTGTCATTATTTTCCATCCTGTCCCTTGTGACTCAGTATCCGTGTGCTTGTGCACACACTCACCAGTCTCTGCCACGCCAGGGGATCAGGGTAGAACCTTCCAGCACGTGAGTCATAACCCACAGGGCACCCAGCTGCTGCGGCCCAGGACACAGCCCCGATTTCCGATTCTTATTCATCCAGGAAGCACAGCGGAGCCCTTCCCGGGTCCGGGGCGGGGGGGGGCGGGGCGGGGGGGGTTGCTGTGCTCCGTCCAGGGGAGACAGACACTGAAAATGCACTGCCGCCCTTCGCGGGGGTCCCAGGGGCAGAGCCGCGTGTCCCAGGCCAGGGGAGCGAGGCCAGGCGCTGGCGCAGCGAGCGCGTGGAGCGGGGGAGTCGCTGCCTCTGCTGCGTGCGTTCGCGTGCGGCGAGAGGGAGGAGTGCGCGTGGTTGCGCGGCGGCGCCTAGGGAACGGGCGAGCTCAGGGGGGCAGAAAGTCGAACGGAAGTAACCGGGGACCGGGAGCAGGAGGAAGTGGGGTGCTGTTCAGGTCCACAGTGTTTGGGGGGATGAGACGTGGTCAGGATGCTCGTGCGACACTGTGAATGTGCCCAATGCCAATGAGTCGAATACGTACGAACAGTTGAAATGACAGATACTGTATTATGTGTATTCTACCGCGAAAGGGTTTTCCGAGTGCGAGCGGACCGTGAGAGGGGCGAGGCTGGGAGACAGCCACCGTGGGGAGCGGGCACCACACCCAGCTTCAGACGCGGGAGGGCCTGGGCCGGCAGCTGTCGCCCCATCAGCATCGTCGGTCTGTGACGTGCTGGGGTGTCCCGGTGCACGCGGTGGCCTGGAGTGGTCGCGGAGCTGGGGGGTTTGCAGGACAAGCATGGAATAACGCGGAGCTGCAATACCTGTGCGCGTGCGTCCTGAGAAAGGGCTGGGGGCTGGCGGAGGGGCTCAGCCTGAGGCTTGGAAGGGCGGGAGGCCGAGGAGACGGCCCAGTGAAGTCGAGGAGAAGCAGAAGCGAAGATGGAGAGACAGGCCAAGGCTACAAGGTCGCTGTTCGGATAAGAGTTCGGGAAACGCGGCTGTGTGGGTGGTGGCTTAGCCCAGGGTCTGCCCACGGGAGGCGGAGGCGAATGCCCCTGCAGCTGAAGGTGTCCGCTCTCCGCGTCCCGGGCCACACCCCGCAGAGTCTAGCGCCTGCGGAGAGGCACGCGTGCGCTTCCTCCGCGCGGACCTGCGGCTTATTGGTTCACCAGGTGCGCCCCCCGGGAGCTGGGGCTGCTGAGAGCCGTCCAGCCCTAGCGCACCTGCCCGCTCTCCAGGCTTTGACAACCCAGCGAAGGGCCCACAGGGCCGCAAATGAAAATAAGCCAACACCACACGTCACAGGGGCACGCGCTCCGGACGGACTCACTGAGGCTTGAAACCGAATGGAGGGGAGGAGAGGCAGGGTACACAGGCGGCAGTTAGGCTGAGACCGAGAAGTGAAGAAAATCATATTCAACAACTTTTTTTTTTTAGATCACCATGTGCTAACTATAGTTCCGGGCACGAGGAATGTACAGATAGATACAACACAGGTCTCAGGTGCACAATTAGAACGGAGACTTCAATAAAATGAGCGAAATTGAAAGTGATCTCCCAGGACTCCAAAGAAAGATTTGGATGTGCCATTTTTTTTAGCTTAATATCAGGGGTTTTTATTTTAAATGATACCTGCAAAATATTCTATTAACGTATACATTGTACCCGAAGTCCAGTATTAGTGGTGGGCCCATGGGGCACAGCTGAGGCAGCAGAGGGAGCACAGTGCCCACTCACGTGGGAGGAAAGGTGCCCACCCAAGGTGGGGAGACAGAAGGAAAACGCCTGTTGAACGACAAAAGCGGTTTCCATTGCACCAGAAACTCGTACGCACAGTAAGACTGTTTGTATCATCCTAAGGCACCAACAGGAAAAGGCTTAAAACTTCGGGGAACAATCGGCTACTTTTGTGCTGTTTCTGCGGACGGGAAACACCCTCCGGTCGCGCGCAGCCCCTGGAGCCCGGGAGGCACGGCGGTGGCTGCGGTGGGAACAAGCACCGAGGCCAGGTCTCGGCTCCGGGACTCTGAGCAGCGGCGGGAGGAGCAGCTGCTGAACTCCCCTGAACACTTCCTTATCGAGGGCAGAAAGCATGTGTGTGTCCTACTTACCCCGGTCGAAGTGCAACCGAGGTTCGCGGGTGGGGCCGGTGAAGCGGGCAGACACACCTGCTCTGCGGAGGAAGTGGCTGTCGGCCTTCCTGAGCTTGGCCACTGCACCCAAGGGTGCTTCACCGTGCCCGTTCGAATGTCCCCAGAATGCACCGAGTCTTAAACCGCTCTGTGCATTCGGGCAGCGGTAGCAGACTGGATGAGCCTTCACCAGTTAATCCGCCCATACCCGCGTGACAAAGCCAGGCGGAACCGCAAGTTAAATCGGCTCGGTCTTTCCGGGACAGACAGGCTGAGGGGGGCCCCTGCGGGGTGTGCAAGGGGACGCAAAGACGATCTCAGTCACTAGACACCTCCCCAGTCCAGTGCCCGTGAGTGTGACAAGATTCGTGGTGCACAGACCCAGGGGCTCCTGCACGGTAACAGTGGTCTCCAAAGCATGCACGAACAATAGAAAAAAGAATTACAGTATTTGTAAAGTCAGTGAGATACGGTGTCCAGGCATTTTCCAGCCCACATCAGGAAAATACTCATCGCAGTCCAAAAGGCGTGGAGCTCAAGCGTATTTTATTTAACAGTGCCAAGCCAGAAAAGCAATCCCAACTGCGAGCGATAGAAGGCTGGCAGATTCGGGGCATGGCTCGATGGACTCTCAGACACACCCGCTGTGATAGGCACAGACCGGCAACTGCGACCCAAGGACCCCGCGGGAAGAGCCGGGTTCTCCAAAACGTTCACAGCAGTTTCTGTGCAGAAGTGCATAATGTGACATGTTAGTTCAGAGCCTCCGGCAGCAACACCCTGGGGTGCAGCCTGCTGAGGGAGCCCAGGAGGAGTGGCTGCCGGGTCACGTCGGTGGCCCCTGGAGACTGCGTGCCCTGGTGAACTCCTCACCCCCTGCCACGCAGCACAAGGAAATGGGTCACGGCAGACAAGGCAGCTCCCTACGGTAAAGCCGAAACCAACATGGACGAGTTAGCCAGAGGCTTCTGGCAAAGGGCTGGGTCTGGCACAGTTAAGAACTGGATTCTTTTCTTAAGCAGAGAAAACAGAAGTCTCAGCAAGTGCACAGGAGACCGCGCCTCCCTGTTGGTTCTTGGCGTGAAGGGTGAGTAGAAATCACATGAAGTTCACAGAATTGTGGAGTCTTCAGCATTCGTAGGTGGAGGTGGGCCGGTGGCCTGTTCTAGTCATCGCTTGCTGTGGCTGTGGGTGCGGCAGTGATGGGTCTTAATCAGGGAGCGGCGAGAGGAGGAGAAAGAAAGAAATTCTTTTTCTCCTGCTTGCCAAATGTTCACCACGGTATTATTTGTAATTTCAGAAATTTGGAATGAAGTGTCCAAAATCATGCAAGTTTCAAAGTAACTTATGGTATGTCCAACAGAATTTTATGTATTTATCAAAAACTGTATTTTAAGAACTAACTTTTATTTATGGATTTTAGAGAAGGAGAGAGAAATGAAGAGAGAGAGAGAAACAATGATTTGTTGTTCCACTCACTGAGGCACTCAGTGGTTGCTTCTTGTATGTGCCCTGGCAGGGGATCGAACTCGCAACCTTGGTGCAGCAGGACAATTCTCTAACCAACTGGGTTACTGGGCCAGGGGAAAAGATAGCTTAACAAATTGGAAAAATGCTCACAATCGAATGCTCAGTGGAAAAAAATTCAAAACTTGGTCTAACATGTATTCCAATTTTTATAAATATGCAAAGAAAAAAATGAAAAGAAAAATTTTCAAATGTTCTCAGCTCCTTCCTGGTAAGATTACAGGTGATTGCAATGGTTCTATTTATAATTGTATGTGTTTAAAAACTCTAATCATACATATGCATTGCTTCTATAGTTAAACCTCATATGAGAAGAATGGCAATGACGCCACAAGCATAATTAGAATTTACATGCATAATTAGAATTTACACGCATACGAAGGAGCAGACTCTAGCAATAACCAGCTACCCAGAGCTGCAGTGGAATTTTCACTGAGTCAGTAAATTGTCCTTTACGGTCCTTTACTGAGAAAGGCACTGGGGGGATGAGGGGGGTTCAGAAATCAAAGTCCTAGCCCAGCTGGCGACACCCGGGGCTGGTGGGGAGGCTGGGGGGGATAGGAAGGCGCCCCCCGAGCTCTGTGGTATGTGCTCCTGCTGAGACTGCACCGTGCTTCTCAGAGACACGGGCCAGGCAACGCCATCTACCACTGGGCCGCTGGGCTTCGGGCAGGGCTTCCAGGAGGAGGTGACATCGGACTTGAGTCTTCAAGGCTGAGTGGAGGAACAGAATCGGATGTTCAGGCAGAGCGGATGAGTAAGGACGCAGAGGCGAGCGAGAGCCACAGCTCTGTGTGTAAGCCTCGTGATGCTGAAACCGAGGGAGGGAAGAAAACCCGCACTACAGCAGTCCCCCCGGGGGTGGAGAAACAGAGGAAGGCTGAAGCAACAGGAGGAAATCTGGGGTTCGGAATGCCGTCTAGGTTTCTCTCTTGGCCCTGGATGGGTGGCAGCATCGTGGGCCCAGCACGGGAATAGACACGGAGGAGCAGGCTTCCAGAGACAATCTCGGGGGCCTCTGTTATCGTTAGGAAGGTAAATGAGAGACGGCTTTGCGGCCCAATCATTCATTGGTTCCACAAGTTTTAGTTGAGCGAGTGCACACTGGTCCTTACGGAACAGTCATGGGGACGTGAGGTGCCGCGCAGGGAACAGAGTCACTGCTATTCCAGTAACTGTGTGTGGGTCAGACGGGCACCAGATTGATCAGGGCGACCAGTTAGTAACTTCTCTGACGTCTAATGACTGGGGTGTACGCCTGAAACTAACACCATACTGTGTGCCAACTGTAGTTGAAAATGAAAAATGATTTTAAAAGCTTAAGCTGGATTCTATGAGGCACCGGGAGTCGGAAAAGGCCCCTAGGAGGGGCTGCGGGAAGGTTCAGGTCCAGACAGTAATGTGATCACAGTGTCATTGAGGGCAGCATCGATCGAACCCTCTCTTTGTGCCAAGAGGCTTGTTTCACTGAGCCCACGACACAACCCTGCGCGTAGGTGGCGCCGAGGGGCAGGGGCGCGGCCCATGCAGCTGGACTCTGCCTCCGCCACGCTCTTACCCAGAGCGCCAGTGCGTCTGTGCCAGGCTGGGCCTTGAGACGTGAGGGCTGAGCTCACGGGAAGGAATGTCATCACCCAGAGCTGCTGAAGCATGAGGAAAGAGTTGCGGGTGGGGGGGGTGGAGAACTGAGACACGAACCCCAGGGAATGCAAGGAGGGGTCAGGAGCTCGGAAGGCAGACCCGGGGACCCGGGGAGGGTTGGGTGGGAGGCCAGGCGGGGTCAGGAGGAAGGGGACGGGCGGCTGCATCTCGTCACCCACACGGCCCAGAAAGGAAAACAGCTGGGACGCCCATCAGATTTAGCAATCGGAGGGTCAGTGGCGGCCGGGGTGGGGGCGCCTTGGCAGGACGCATTTCCGTGCCGGGGCTGGGGGGCCCGGAGTGCGCGTTGACAGGGACTCGTTGGAGGCAGCGAGTTTGCTCTGGGTGTCTTCGCCTCGGGTTCGGCTCCGAGTGGAGAAGGATGACCCTGCAGGGGTGAGCCTACCAGAGGGAGGGGCTGAGGCGGCAGGAGAGAGCAGAAGTGGCCGATGTAGCAAAGTCCTGGTGGGCGTGAGAAGGACCAGGTGAGCTGGCCCCGGTCCAGGACTGGCTCCCGGGTGAGAAGAGAGACACCTCTTCCGCCGTGACCGAGATGGGAGGGGAGGGAAGGAGGCAGCAGGATCAGGAGTCCTGATCTCTTCCCTCCTAAGTCCGCAGTGTCCTCAGGGGCCCCAGGGAAAGGCTGCCACTTACGGGGGAGGGGGGGTGCATTCCGGGAGGGGTCCTACCTGAGCTCTGGCTTTGACACAGGGCTGGTGGCAAATGGGAGTGGACGCCGCCTGAAGAACTGTCCAGAGGACCCCAAGGAGCCTCCCCCGCCCTCCCCCGGTGGCCACTGAGTGGCAGCTCGCGCCTGTGGCGGCGGCCCCCGCGCAGCTGCCGGGTTTCCCCCAGCAGGGCCCGCGGCCAGATGGGGCACAGGCCGCCCGGGCGGGCGGCACCTGCCGCAGCAGATCACTTGGGGCTTTCGCCGGGCTGGTCTCGGACAGGCCCCGAGGCACACGCTGCCCCGCAGCCCAGCGCAGCCAGCTGGCCAGGCCAGAGTTCTAAATCATCTTCAGATTCCCTCCATTCAAGGCAAACCCCTGATCTGCAGCACCTGGGTATAAAACGTGTATGAAAATAGAAAGCAGGAAGGGTCCAGGATGCTTAGAGCTCCCCGATCAGTGAAGGAGTTCTAATGTTCCCGTTCTGTTTCAGTCCTGTGTACATAACGTTACAAGGACTGCCTCCCTTTGATGCAGTCAGAGATCTTTGCTTTTTTCAAGCCTCCCTGGGAACGCAACTGTGAGACATTTCGTGGCTGGACTGTGCGGCATGTCAGTCGCTCCGGGATGACAGTCCTCGCTCCTTGCAAGGGTTTGTCGCCACTGCACGCACACCGCACAGAGGATGTCACTGGGAAGGCCGCTTGGCGTGGGACCAGGCAGCAGTCTGGGTTACTTTATAACCGGCTGCCATAGTTTCCTGTCCATTTACGATCTGTGACTTATTGCTTCATAACTGACGATTTCAAAGGTTTACCAGGGGGCCACCAAAAGGCTCCCTTATTTCTTTCTAGCTCATTCTGAACTGTGTTTCCCTAGTGCACGCTTTGTAATAGTTAAAAGAGCACATTAAAAATAACAAAGTAGAATGAACAGATAACTGTAGAGGGGAACTTCAGGTAGCTAGCTGTCAGGTTTTTTCCCCTGAAGTCAGTAGTAATTCATATACAGAGGAAGGATTGGATAATTTCCCTGAACTTGCGGAGTTCACACGGAGTACCTGGAATTTGAAAAGCCAGCAAACAAACAGCGTGCAAACGTGAGAAAACAGCTAACTACACTTTGGTTCTCGCTTGGAAGTCTGGTTCAAAGACAGTTTTAAGAAGTAACGAGATTTCGGCCAATTTAGTGCTTAAATAATTCAGAAACTCGCTTGAAACATGTCAGATCCTTGCACCACACTTCAGGTGTAAGTTAACCACATCAGAGGTGGTCATGACTTTCTCTCATGTTCTTCGAGCACTCCCCACGGGAGATCTGGGGCACCCTGAGGTCCGAGCTGGTGCTGCCTTCCTCAGGCTAGGCTTTGGCGCCCGGGGAACTGACAGGCGCTCCTCCATGACTTCTTAAAGGGCCAGTCCCTTTCCTCCCTCTTCCCCGCAAGAATCAGTTCATTTCAAATGATAAGCCTGCTTCCTGGTATTGGCTAAAATACTTTAAAATTCTTTTATCATATTTGACTTTCTTATAATACCAACTTTTCAAACTGCCGGGGGGGGGGCGGGGTTTGAATGCTTTACCGGACTATGTAAATTTACTTTCTGTGGGTCCCCCACAGTTTGACCTTAATATTTCTTTCTGCAGCATGACTACACAACAGTTATAGCTGGAGTCCTTGAACTATCTAGATTTGATTGTAGATTGCGGCCCGATAAGTATTTAGTTGATGAAACCAGGAAAAATTAACCAATAACACGAGAGCACCAGTACTAAACTCCAAAAATAAAAGCAAAAAAAAGAAAAAGAAAAGAAAGAAAAATCCCTCCAAACTGAGTAGCTGATTCCAAGTGGCTTGACGTTAGGGAGAAGATGACACGTTGTCAGGAACGCACGGTGTTACAGTTTTGTGCGGTTGTGACGGAGGAGGCTTCCAAGGCTGAGAAGTAGGAACCACCCAGCAACGGGAGGAAGACGGTACAGCCCCTGATCTCTGAATGAAATCGGGAAGGAGGTGGAAACTCTCTGAGTGGGGAGGGCGGTCCGACCAGGCTGTCAAGTTCAGGCGGGGGCGGGAGGGAGGGACAGACAGAGGGAGACAGACGGAGCGCAGCGCGGGGCAGGGCCGGGGGCGAGACCTCCCTGGAGAGCCCGGCGGCGGGGAAGGCGGGGAGCGGAGGGCGCCGCGGGGGCAGGGGCGCTGGGGCGCGGGGAGAGGCGGGCGGGAGCGGACGCAGCGCAGACGGCGGCCGCG